GCATTTGTGTCACCCCCTCCTGTCTAACAGCGCAATATTGCGATCCTGAGAGTTGGCCTGACCCCCCAGGGCATCACTGCCAGCTTAAGGAACTAGCCACCTCTGTGGAGTCCACGTGCAATAACACCAGCTAGCTGTGAAACTGGAAGCGGTGGCAGCGACACAGTTAAGTGTTTCCAGTTTCTGGTTCCTCCCACCCACCTGGGTCTGCGATCAAGCACTGGGGGACCCCCCCCCACCACTCTGCAATGTGGGGGGAGGGTGTGCAAATGTAAGCATTGGCCCCCAGTTGCCGGAGACCCTTGGTATGGCACTGGCTTGACATAAACCCAGAGGTATCCATTCTGGAAGTGGGAGCTCAGCCTCCAACTCTCATTCATTATTTGGCTGCTCCATAGAGACATCTGATGGGGATGCCAACCTGTGCCAACAGTGCTGGGCTGGTACTAATGTGGGAGATGTGGACACTCCTGGAAGAACCTATATCAAGATGATAGAGTTCATTTCACCCACTACCCAAAGTGGCTAGATGGTGAAAACAAGAGGCTGGGAAGGCCTGACACTAACATCCCTCATGCTTCACAAATTCAGGGCAGTACATGGGACTAGTGTACTCACTTTATAGTGATCTAACAGTACAGTTTCTGGATGTGGGTGCACTGCCTTCTCCTTCTCACTTTGCCTAATATATTGTCATCAGTAAGTAGGGAACTGCAAAAGCTAAGCAGCATCTTTGCTAAGCTCATTTAGACATGGCTTGGGGCCATTTACAGGGATTTGGATGTTTCCATCTCTCACACATCACCAGTGGTTTGAGCACTCCATCAATCTGCTAGCCTCTTTCAGAGCAAAGAATCACTCCATTTCACATTCCACCTCCATCCTCAAAGGACCCATCTTGCCTTCCTGGCAAGGAAGAGCTGGGCATGGCTTTACCCAGCATCCCTTGTGGCCTTGCCATGAATTCACCACCAAGGGGCTCTTTGAGGACAATGCATAGCTCTCCCTCTTGGCCTTCTCTTTTCCATACCAGGTCAGGTTCAGTCTGCTATCTCTGTAGCATGCCTACTCCCACCTATTCAGGCCTACTGGCATTCTGCCTCCCTGCAAATCTTCACTCTGCACTGGTTCTAGAGGCAGCTTTATGTCAAGTATCTTTGTCACTGGTACTTTATCCAATTATGTGGCCATGGATTGCTTTCCTTGATGACTGTATATTTGGAGGTTGGGTTTCACACTGGGAAAGGCTGATTTGCTGGTGATAACATCATCTGGAAAAATCACACTGTAAGGATGGAGAAATGAAAGCCCAGAGCAGCCAGGAAATGCCAGACTGAGCTGCCAACCATCAGGCTGCAGCCAGGTGGAGCATACAGCACTGTACAGCAGATGGTGAAAGGGGAGACTAAAGACATTCTGGGGAAGAGGGAGCCAGGGTGTCTGTGATGAAGACTCCTTATTCTACGGTTCCAGGGACATCAGCAGAGGATCAGTTATTGTTCATGATCCACCAGGAGGCTGGGGAAGCAAGTGGAAAAAGTTCATGAGACACAGATGGGTAATGGGGAGCATGAGGTGTATGACACAGAGGAAAGGCAGGACTTGGAGTCAGTCTGCCTGAGATTTCCCATGTGGCTCCGGGTGAATGAATTCCCCTCTCTGGCCCTCAGTTCAACTCCTGTAAATGGGGGATAATGGGAAGAGATGGGGCTTCCTGCACTGGTGGTAGTAAATCCCTCATGTGTTCAGCCTGGAGGAAAGGTGCTGAGTCACATTGCTCGCACTCACCGATGGGACGACTGTCCTAGGCTGGAGCTGCCAGCTGTTCTGTCACTTACTCAGCCATGGGAACCTTACCACCCTGAGAGCTATGTCAGCAACCAGGGCCAGAGCTCAGCAGGGAGGCAGCACTTGAGTTCATGCTATAGGGGCAACTAGGACTGGGTCTGAGGATGTGCTGAAGGATCTGGCCCATCAGAGTAAGCTGGTGTCACCTACCTAGTTCACTTTAGCTGCTGTGCCAAGTGGATTCGCAGGCAGGGCTGCTTCAAGCTCAGCAAAGTTTCCCACACACCTAACTTAAACTTTATCAGCACACAGTGCCTGCAGGAGTGCACAGGGCTGTGCTCACTGAGATATCTGCCTGTGTTTGTCTCTTCCCCATCCAGTTCTATTAGTGACCCAGAAGAACAATAGCCTCATGGTGTGCCATTAACTCTCAACAACAGCTCTGAATCACTGCTCCCTTTGGGCGCTTGCACACATGACAGGGGTTTAGTCCTCAGGTTTTATTCTATGCCCTCTAAATTGAAATGGTGGGGTTTTTTTTCAATTTAGGGGCTTCTGCCGCTGTTATGGTGAGGAACCTGATCCTTTTTTCTTTCCAGTGGAGCCTGCCAATGGCCAGGGGGCAAGCTGCCAGTGGGCAGAGTGGCCCCTGAGCTGTGGGGGACCCCAGTCCTTCCTTCAGTGGTGGTAGCACCCCCGAGGGCCAGCTGGTTAGGGTGCTAGTGGGTTGGGTACTGCCCCAGCTCGAAGGCAGCACCCGGTCGGGTCCAACTCTTCCTTGAGCCTGCCTGGGGAGCAACACCCTGTGCACTGTCTCCGCTGCCTTCCTGCTGCCTGGGACAGCCTGGAAACAGGCTGGCTTGCCTCTGGGGCCATGCAGGGAGGTGGCAGGAGGGCAGCTGGGTGTGCTGGTGGCTGGAGAAGGCAGTGAGGACAGTGTTTGGGGCACTGGAAGCCCACCAAGCCTGAGATTCCCCAGGCCTGCCTGGGCATCCAGCACCCCATGAAATAGACAGACAAACATCCCAGCCATCTTCTCTGGCTGCCAGCACACCCAACTGCCCTCCTGTCACCTTCCTGCACTGCCTCAAGGGTAAGGCAGCCTGTTTCTGGGCAGTCCCAGGCAGCAGGAAGGTGGCAGGGACAGTGCACAGAGTGCTGGAAGCCCCAGCGGGCTTGGGAAAGAGGTGGATCCATCTGGGCACTGCCTCTGAGCTGGGGCAGCACCTGGCCCCCTAGCAGCCTGCCTAGGTGGCCCCGGGGGGCACCACCATTATGGAGGGAAAGACCAGGGTCCTCTGCAGCTCAGGGGCTGCTTGGCCTCCTGGCAGCTCACCGCACAGCCTTGGAAGAGGCAGACAGGCTCCATGAAGGGAAAAAAAAAGGATCGGGCCCCTCACCACTTCTGCCTTACAAGTAGCAGTGTTGCAAACTAAACTCCATGGAGATGTAGTTTAATTTGCAATGTTGGAAACTCATTTGAAACTCCCAAACCTTGTGCATGTGTAAAATATGAAGCTATTAAGCCACACAAAGGACATTTTTGTCATGTGTACATAGTGACAATTGTCACCTGTACAAGTGCCCTTTGTACCTTCCCTACTGGTCACCTGGGCAAGCAGAGACCCTCTGTGAGCAGGAGCAAGGAGGGGCCAGTGGCAGCAGCACTGGCAAGTGCACTCTGAATCAGATCCTTCTAAGAGGCGTGTGGTTGAGCAACACCATGCCTATGAAATGAAGGCAAATAGCAGTGCAGCCCATACTTCATGTGCCTCCTCTTTTAATAATAATAACAATTAATAAATCATTCTCATCCTTGATGTTACCCTTTATCCATTCAAAGCTCTTTACAAACTGTAACTAATTCATTGACTGTGTTTGTCTGTCTGTTTCTCTAGTCTGCCTTGCTACAGCTTCCAGAATAAATTTTGCAAGGCCTGGGCTCCTTATTGCAGTGTCCTACCATAGGCAGCAGAAGGCTGGGGCTATTGAGGCTTAGCCCCTGCAAATGCAGGCTCTGGGCAGGTGCAGCAGGGGTGGGGCAGGGCTAGCTGCAGGACGGGTGCAGCAGGGCTGGTGGCTGCAGCAGGGGTGCACATGCACTGGTGAGACAGGGAGTAGAGCTGGGGGTGGGGCAGGGGTAGGCGCTGCACAGCTGAGGTGGAGCACAGGATGGAGCCACAAGTGGTTCATGCGGGGGTGGAGGGAGCAGCTTCCACCGCTGCACGCACCCTGGGTGGGCAGTTGGGGGCATGTGACCCTGGATCTGCACATGGGGCAAGGGCAGGCTGCCAGTGTGGGCTGGGGCTGGAGAGGCACCGGGCTCTTCCCGGTGCGGGGCTGGGCTGCGCTTGGGGTAGGTGGTGGCGGTGCTTGGAGGGGGAGTTACGGGGGGGCTGGAGGGGGAGTTACGGGGGGGCTGCAGCCACCCCAAAATTCACTGTAGCCCCCCGCAAGCCTCCCTCCCAGTGCTGCTGCCACTTTCCGCAAGCACAGCCCACCCCAATCCCCACCAGGAAGAGCCCAGCACCACCCTGGCCCCAGCCCCCAGACGCAGCCTGCCCTGACCCCACACACAGATCCGGGGCACACTCCCCCCATGCCCTCTTGGGGTACATGCAGCAACAGGAACCGCCACCCCCTCCCCTCTGGACAAGCCGCTTGTGGCTCCCTCCCGTGCGCCACCC